TGACAGCTCGTTAACTGAGTGTAAACTCGTCAATGGAAACAATGCTTCTGTTAGTGGCTCGTTCGTTGCCTGAGAAGGCCGCTTGTTACCCGATTCTCCTCTGTACTGCCACTCTGTACATAAACAGTTGAATTCCAGTGGGGTTTACTCAGCTTGTGTTACCTCTTCTAATACCGATAACTGCAACCTGACACCTTTAAAGACCTTGTCTCATGTAGCACCAGCCTACTCGCATGTGTACTAGTATAAGACATGTTTTTCGCCATTTAGAGGCCAATCATAGACTTTTTATTTCCTTTTCTAGATTTTATAAGCTCTTGGAAATCAATTTCGCCGGTTCCGTCTTCGGTGCCAATAACCGTGTAAAGTCGCGTCACTTTTGCGTCTCAAAAGCACTGCAACGTGACCTGTACGAGCGAACCGGGATCAAGTCTAGCGTCCTCTATGACCTACCTACCGGAGAGTTTCAACCGACTTCTCCTGAGCGCGCACACGCCCTCTTTAAAAAGTGAGCTAACATATGCCCTGTTGTTGAATTGCAATCTGCGCGTGCGCATTCTTTTCGACTGCCAACGCCAAGGCTCGGTCTGGCAGCACTTGGGTCTGGATAGGACTGGCTGACGACGGCTAATAAGCCAGAAATGACCATTCCAGTCTCCCTAGTCTTTGGCGGCAATGCTATTTGCCTATAATACCAGCTGCTACAGCAATCAGGGCCTCTGTCGAGTCCCAGGGCAGAGCAGGACAGATGAGTTCCGTTTGCGATCGGGTGAACGTTCATCAACGAGTGTCAATATTCCTCGAACTAAACTGGCAAGACAACGAGCTCGTGGCTCAATGGTTAGGGCGCTTGACTTTGATCAACAGATCGCGAGTTTGAGGCTCAGATGTGGCACCACTTGGATCTGAGTATGACTGGCCGGCGACGGCTAGTAAGTCAGAAATGGCCAATTCAGTCTCCCTTGTCTTTGCCGGCAATAATACCAACACCTACTATGTCATCTGAAGAGTTCTGTACTTTTCTTACGTTTCCGTGCTAATCTGCCGCGAACCGCTCTCGGCTGCATTTCTACCTGGAGGCATTCGAAGTCGCATTAGAGTGGCGTTTAAGGAGGCTGATCTGTATACTGACCGAACACGGAAGTTTTTATTTTTTCCTCTCATTTCCCTCCATAACCCGGTTATGTGTCTTTCAGGCAGCAACAATTTAGAAATCTTACCAACAGTTCAGTTCCGCTTTACTTGACATAATCGGCTAGTCGCATCCTAATCGTAGGCCAGTGTCTGCTCTACGGAAGAGCCTTCAAAAGTGATGAAGGCTTGGGACTGCATATATGCCTCCCATCCGACCGGACATGATATTGAAAACCGTATGTAATACAGGTAATACGTCGATCGGTTACGGGACTCGGGGCTCATTCTCGAGTCACGCCAGCAGAATGAAATTGCAGACAAAGACGAGGGAGACTGCAATAGCCATTTCTTGCCTATTAACCATCATCGACCACCCATTCCCAACCAGTGGTAGTGCACCACCCGAGGCTCGAACCCGCGACCCTCTAATCAATGAGCCACAACCTCGTGGTCTTGCCGATGTAGCTCGGGAAATATTAATGTTGACGGATAAACGCTCGCCGATCGGTTACGGGACTCTCGTTCAGTTCTGCCCTGGGTCTCCTTCTCGAGCCCCGTTAGCAGCCGCACAGTGACAGGTATTTTAGGTAGATACTTATTATTCTCGGTTGTGCCGTCTTACTTCCAGATTGGGACAGATGTATCCGGTGCTGGATGAGCCTGACAGTCCCGATCAAACAGCTTTCACGGAACGCAACAAGTCTGGGACTATTTGCTTGCGTGTGGATCGACCGGCTCTTCTGGTCAGTAGTTGTAGTTGGACACCCGATGACGATTACAGCATGATGCTGGAGGCACTGGACATCTACGATGCTACTGTGGCCTCATCGCCTAATATTGCCTACCATAGGCTCTTCTGCATTGTAACCGGTAAGTACCACTTTCACAAGCTGGTCCTCATTTTTTTTCAAAGTCACCAAATTGTACATAAACTTTCATTCTGCTCGTTTGGTTGGTTTTTAATACTCCCCTGGCTTTTACTATCTAATTACTTTTCACTTTATTAGAGGGGCTTTGCTGGTATTGTGCCTACTTTTACTTATTATGACTTCCTTCATGTCTGATCTAACTGGCATCTTTTGCGTCAGGTTTCAAGCGCCTACATTCTGGTAGGTTATAATGCAAATTCTACGCAAAACGGTCTGTGCTTGACTGCATTCCGAGCCCGCCCAATACTTTCGAGCAAAATTATAAAGTTACCTACATAGATACTACTTGCATATGTTCAATCTGTCATGCTACTTGTCCGTAGAATACATCAACATTTTCGCCTCAGTTCCGGCTAACAAACTCTTCCTTATGTAAAGAAGGCATTTGAGTTCACCAAAAAGACGGCTTAAGGCCCCCGGATAGAAATAGTGCGTAAAGCTACAACTACTTTGCGCATCCAGTTTGGCTGTTTAAACAGAAAATAATTGTCTAATGAATAGCGTGGACCAGTTGTGATGCAGTCTGGTGGTCAAACCGGGAAATCTTTCTGCACCCGTATAAGTGAACACCAGCTGGTGGTCAAGAGACGAGACCATTATCCCAGGTAGCTATGCTCACACTAGTGGACACAAGACACAAATTAGCATGGGAGAAAACTCGCATGGTTGGCCCCTGCCCGACAAAAAAGACCGCGGATTTTTGGAAGCAACACACTCAGCCGAGGCATGCATTAATAGCCATATCGAGCACAGTCAACATTGACAGGGCAACCGGATCCAGTGGACACCTATTGGCCTAAACTCTAGCTAATTACAAAATCGTTTGTTAGGCATGGTTTAAAGTTAGCTGTTTTTTGTACAACATGTGACCTATCTCATAAAAAGTGCCGACATTTACCACAGAGTGCTAATCGTTTGCAATCCGGTGCCGATGAGTAGATCAAAGCCTTGAAATAATAATAGACGACCA